CCCCTTCCTCCAGCCCTCTAGCCTGTTGGATTTTGGGCACTTGTGTATGTGCCTGCCATGTTTCAGGCTGACATGGTGGGATCAGAACCGTGGCTGCCATGTGGAATCTGACTTTTCCTGAGCTATGGATTACTGTTACACCATGGAGCTGGCCCCTTTTTTTTTTTTTTTTCTTAGAGAGATTTTTGCTATAGTGCCTGTTCATTTGCCAGAGAGACAAAAAGTGAGACATCATTCCCTAGGGAGGATGGCCATGCCACAGTCCCCTCACCTCCATTCTACTCTTAGGATTTTGGACACATGCACACGTGCCTGGCGTGAGTTTTGTTTTTTGAGAGGGTTTTTGCCTTAGGGTGCATGTGCTTGCCAGAGAGAGAGAGACAGACAGACACAATGAGAAGGAAAGTGAGAAATCACCTCCTGGGGCTGGCAGGAGGTGCTGGACTACTACATGGCCAACCCCAGTTTGTGTCCCAGACCTGGTGGCTTACTTCCTCACTTTCTCTCCCTCCCTCCCTCCCTCCCTCTCCAGTCAAATTAAAATAAACAAATAAATAAAGTTAAATAAAATAATGCTTTAAAAGAAAAAAGTCATCTCCCATGGGGGATGGCCATGCCGCAGTCCCTTCTCCTCCATTCTCCTGGGATCTGGGGCACATATGCACAAGCACCCGGCATGATTTTGAAGCCACTGCGTCTGGAACTCAAACCACAGTCGACCATGTGGGAGTCCAGTAATGTAACCGCTACACCATCTGCTGGTCCCTGGCATGAGTTTTAGACTGCGAGGTCCAGGACTCGAACCATAGTAGACTACGTAAGAGTCTAGCAATGTAACCATTACATCATCTGCTGGTCCTGGTCCTCCTTTTTTTTAAAGCTATTTTTCCCATCTGTCTTCTTAGAACCATTCTTATTTTCTCCCACTTAAGTTGAAGAAACATAGTAAGATGCGCAGGGAAAATTGAACATCCTTTTCTGATTCTTCTCTCATCTTCACTCTGCCATGTCCTGCTTTTCACCTGTTCAGAGCGGAATGCGAGAGGAATGAGTAGGGCAGCTCTCTCACTGTGGCCTGCAGCCTGACTTGGGATTGAGCCTGTGGTCAGATTGTTGTGCTTTTATTCTTATGCTTTTTTAAAAACAAGCAGGGTCGGCTAGTGGCATGGTGGTTAAGGCGCTGGACTACCACATGGCCAACCACAGTTCGAGTCTCAGAGCTGGTAGCTTGCTTTCTCATTTTCTTCTTCTTTCTGTCTCTGTCTCTCTCTCTCTGGTCAAATTTTAAAATAATAATAATAAATAATGTCAAACAAAAGCAAACAGTTATTGGTGATGCACTGTAAATGCCAAGAGAAACCAGTTTTGTACATGCTAAGAGAATATAGGCCAGGTGACCCTGATTGCCAACAGCATTTACATGGCTGGGTTCCATTTTAATTTTAATCAAACTTTTTCTGATCATACAGCAAGTTCCTTCACTGCCCTGTTTTTCAGATCAAACCTGAAACCAGCCTCCTCTGCAAAGCTTTAGACCAAGATGGCCCCACAGTACTCACCTGAGTTAACACCAGGGCAAGCAGCAAACCACAACTATGCATTTCAAGAGAAGTTTTTTGTTTGTTTGTTTTATAGAGATTTTTGCTGTAGGGCACATGTGCTTGATGGAGAGACAGAGAGAGAGAAAGGGAGAAATCACCCCCCGGGAGGATGGCCACACCACAATCCCTTCTCCTCTATTCTCCTCTTGGGATTCTGGCACCTTCTTTAAAGTTTATTACCAATGATGCCGTTCAGTGGCCTGGGTGCTTAGGACATTCCTAGAAATAGAGTTTAAAATACAGGTCTGAGTGTCCTAGGCATACTACTTTGAATCTGTGGAAAGTGGAACTCTTTTTTTTTTTTTTTTTTTTTGAGAGGTTTTTGCTACAGGGCGCGTGCGCTTGCCAGACAGACAAAGAGACAGAAAGCCATTACGCTAACTGCTGGTCCCGAAAGTGGAACTCAGCAAACATAACATTGCAGGTGATTCTTTTTTTTTTGTTGTAGAAGTTTTGTTTGTTTGTTTTATAGAGATTTTTGCTGTAGGGCACGTCCGCTCCCAGAAAGACAGAGACAGAGAGCGAGAAATCACCCCCTGGGGGGATGGCCACGCCACAATCCATTCTCCTCCATTCTCTTGGGATCTTCGGCACACGCGTACACGCACACAGCGTGAGTTTGAGTTTAAGCCGCCTGGTCCAGGACTTGAACCAAGGTCGACTACATGGGAGTCCAGCGACATAGCCATTACGCTAACTACTGGTCCCCATTGCAGGTGATTCTGATGTTCAGGTAGTTTGAAAAACATAAAGTGAAATTGTTTCTTTTATCTAACCCATGGACATTTAATCAGAGAGAATCTAATCCTTCCTAGCATACTACATGATTTCAATTTAGATTTTTTTCTTTCAGTTTTTGCTATCAGGCGCATGCACTCCCTGGACAGAGACAGAGGGAAAGTGAGAAACCATGCTCCAGGGGAGATGGCCATACCACAGTCTATTCTCCTGAGATTTTGGGCATGCACACACATACATATGCCCAGTATGCTTTTTTCTTTTTCTTTTATTTATTATTATTTTAAAATTTGCTACAGGGCTCGTGTGCTCACCAGAGAGAGATAGAGAAAGTAAGAAAGCAAGCCACCAGGTCTGAGACTCAAATCGCTATTGGTCGTGTGGGAGCCCAGTGCCTTAACCACTATGCCAACTGCTGAGTCTGTGACTCAAAGTTCTATAGGCCATGTGGAATCTAGCTGTTTTAACCTTTGCACCAACCACCTGCCGGCCCCAGTTTAGACTTTTTTTTTTAAGCTTATCTACTTATTTCTTCCATGAACAAGAGCACAAGGTAGTACCCCCCAGCAGGATCTTGACATCGTGTGCCTTTTGCACAGCTTGTGTTTTACTGCCGCACAACCGTCTGGCCCCTAATTTAGATTTTCTTCTCATGTAAAATTTCTGTAGAATGCTTTTTATCGTTGGGAATGACTTTGTATTAATTGTAGAGAGTTTTTTCTTCTAATCTGCTTTAGGATAGCAGTAAACATTTTGACTCAGCAAATATTGATTCAACCCCTTTGGACATGTGTATGGGCCCTAGGCAAAACAACTTCAAATGTCTGGAGAGTGAAACCCTGAACAGACATTGCAGGTGATTCTGCTGGTCAGGCCTGTCTTTGGTCCTTGCCTCTCTTCTGGTGATCTAACTGCTGTAACACGGTCCTGGCGCTTCCAGACATTTTTCTTTTCTTTTTTTTTTTTTTTTTTGCCATCAGCCATTTATTTGAATTATGGTATAGGAGTTCAATTAAATCATGGTACAGATTTTAAAAAATATAAGAAATGGGCCTCGCAGATGATATGACTGAAACACTGAACTCACACATGATCGGGCACGGTTTGATTCCCAGACCTGGAGACTTTCTTTTTCACTTTCCCTTCTTCTCTCCCGCAGCCTCTCTCTGATCAAACTGGTGGCTTGCTTTCTCACAATTTCCCCCTCTTTTTTTCTCTCTCTCTTCAGCTCTTGCCTTTAATGGGTTAATGAACACAAAATAAAATGCAGGTGAGTCTGCATGGTTTTGAGAAGTGAAGGGATTTCCAGTATTTATATATTCATATAACCAGGTACATGAAAGCCTGAGTCTGTGCTTTCTCAGTGCTGAGAGGTAAAGTCCAATCCTGGCTCTTAATTCCTGGATAGAGACTGTTCCTCTCTCATCATGTCTCCAGACATTTTTCTTAATGAACAGCGTTGGAATTAGTCATAGAATGGTGAAAAAAATGGCCAGAGTTGCTCCCCAGAAACTTCTCACAGTAGGATTGCACGTAGATGCAAGAGAAAACTCGTACGTTCTTGGATTTAAGATAGTAAACTCTCAGCTATTGAGCAACGGAGGAGTTAAACTGGAAATGTTGGATTTGGGATTTGAGACGCCTTCCAAACCAGTTTTTTGGTGGGGTGATTGAATCATGTGTGTATGTTCTGTATATCAAAGTCAGCTTATATCATAAAATGCCAGGGGACCCATTATAAATGGGGAGATATGATTTGCCTGATTGGCAGATATGACAGCAACTCCTTAAATGCATGGATTGAGTGAACTCCTGCTTTCTGCCTTTGAAATTGTGTACATTTACCAGTTTCAGTATAAACTTCACTGTAAAATATTTGGCATAATAAGAACTGGTTACACAATAAGAGCTGACTACCTACAAAGCTGAAGGCAATGTGTTTGAGAAGAAGTTGGCTTTCAGTCTTCATAATTGATATGCATCATTATTTCATAAACTGTTCTTACGCTCTTTCAGGCACTGGCTCGCCCGAGAATATGTCTGGTTTTTAGTTCCATATATGATCTACGACTCCTATGCCATGTACCTCTGTGAATGGTACCGTGCTACAGACCAGAAGCGCAACCGCTCCAGCACTTTTCGAAACTTCCTAAGCCAAAACCGCCTCATGATCACGCACCACGTGTTCATCCTCCTTGTCCTCGTGCCAGTTGCACAGGTATGGCCCTCCAGGACGGCACGGCAGCGTCCCTGGTTGCTCGCTTTCTCCTGTTGAACTAGGTGTCTTGAGCATCATTTGGGAGTCAGGATTGCCCCGTGCCAGCTGCTTTAGCAGTTAAATCCCCCATTCAGACGGCAGAGGAAAATAATTAAATCTGAAATGTTTGTGATCCTCCATATCCACAGTATTCTCTTCAGAAATCCCCCAACCCTGATTCCTTTGCGGTTGTCAAAGGTTCTATCTTTAGTGCAATACAATATAAAAAGGATACAAAAGACAAATACAATCCAAACAATGCAACAGTGCTCTGGTAGCGCCTGGGAGTACTGTATTCTTCGGAGGCCACAAAAACCCAGAATCTTTTTTTTTTGGCAAGGTTTCTGCTATAGGGCGCGTGCGCTTGCCAGACAGACAGAAAGAGAGAGAGACAGAAGGCGAGAAATCAGCCCCCAGGGGGACGGCCACGCTGCAATCCCTTCTCCTCCATTCTCCCCTTGGGATCTTGGGCATGCACGCACACGTGCCCGGCGTGAGTTTAAGTCACCGGGTCCGGGACTCGAACTGCGGTCGACTACATGGGAGTCCAGCGACATAGCCATTACACTAACTGCTGGTCCCAAAACCCAGAATCTCAAATGGCCTCAGAATTTCTCCCCAGATCCATTTTCCCACAAAACCCCACCCGTAAGAATGAAATGGGAATGCATAGAGGGAACTGGTCATTCTTGAGTGTTTACCAGACAGCAGGCACTTGATTAAAAAGCTCACAGCTTACTAAGTGGGAGAATTTAACAACCTTCTGCTATAGTCAAAGAAACTGGGGCTCTGAGAGTCTCTCTCACTCAATATGAAATGACAGAGCTGGTATTCCCTACTGTATGGCTTTCTTGGAAGAAAAGGAAAGGTAGAGTACATTTAAGAAGTTCTTTAAGGAGTCTCTCTTGGGACCAGCAGATGGTGTAATGGTTACGTCACTGGACTCCCACATAGTTGACCATAGTTCAAGACCCAGACCCAGCAGCTTAAAACTCAGTTTGTGCCCAAACTGGAGAAGGGATCGTGGTGTGGCCATCCCTCCTGAGGGGAGAGGGGGATAATTTCTCACTTTCTGTTTCTCCAGTGAGCACATGAGTCCTATAGCAAAAATCTCTTTCTTAAGGAAAAAAAAGTCTCTCTCAATTACTTTGGGACTCCACCATCTAGCACACAGCTCGGTGTGCACATACTTTGTCGAGACGAATGGGTTAAGTGCCCTCGGCTTGACTAAGTTAGGTGCACAAAGCTATAGGGTTCCTTGCAACCATTGCTGAATTTCACTGAAAGGCTGGTGTGTGGGGCGGTCAGCCCATCTGAATTGGCCTCTGGACCCGAGGGATTCAACCCTCGAAGTGTTGTTGCGACGGAAGCAGCAGAATGTTCCTGAGACGGCGTGTGCCTACTTAGCACTGCCTTTTGCTTTCCTAGTCTCTCATGGCTACCCTTTTCCTAGCTCTACCAGACATTTTTCTTTTTTTTTTTTTTTTTTTTTGCCATCAGCCATTTATTTGAATTATGGTATAGGAGTTCAATTAAATCATGGTACAGATTTTAAAAAATATAAGAAATGGGCCTCGCAGATGATATGACTGAAACACTGAACTCACACATGATCGGGCACGGTTTGATTCCCAGACCTGGAGACTTTCTTTTTCACTTTCCCTTCTTCTCTCCCGCAGCCTCTCTCTGATCAAACTGGTGGCTTGCTTTCTCACAATTTCCCCCTCTTTTTTTCTCTCTCTCTTCAGCTCTTGCCTTTAATGGGTTAATGAACACAAAATAAAATGCAGGTGAGTCTGCATGGTTTTGAGAAGTGAAGGGATTTCCAGTATTTATATATTCATATAACCAGGTACATGAAAGCCTGAGTCTGTGCTTTCTCAGTGCTGAGAGGTAAAGTCCAATCCTGGCTCTTAATTCCTGGATAGAGACTGTTCCTCTCTCATCATGTCTCCAGACATTTTTCTTAATGAACAGCGTTGGAATTAGTCATAGAATGGTGAAAAAAATGGCCAGAGTTGCTCCCCAGAAACTTCTCACAGTAGGATTGCACGTAGATGCAAGAGAAAACTCGTACGTTCTTGGATTTAAGATAGTAAACTCTCAGCTATTGAGCAACGGAGGAGTTAAACTGGAAATGTTGGATTTGGGATTTGAGACGCCTTCCAAACCAGTTTTTTGGTGGGGTGATTGAATCATGTGTGTATGTTCTGTATATCAAAGTCAGCTTATATCATAAAATGCCAGGGGACCCATTATAAATGGGGAGATATGATTTGCCTGATTGGCAGATATGACAGCAACTCCTTAAATGCATGGATTGAGTGAACTCCTGCTTTCTGCCTTTGAAATTGTGTACATTTACCAGTTTCAGTATAAACTTCACTGTAAAATATTTGGCATAATAAGAACTGGTTACACAATAAGAGCTGACTACCTACAAAGCTGAAGGCAATGTGTTTGAGAAGAAGTTGGCTTTCAGTCTTCATAATTGATATGCATCATTATTTCATAAACTGTTCTTACGCTCTTTCAGGCACTGGCTCGCCCGAGAATATGTCTGGTTTTTAGTTCCATATATGATCTACGACTCCTATGCCATGTACCTCTGTGAATGGTACCGTGCTACAGACCAGAAGCGCAACCGCTCCAGCACTTTTCGAAACTTCCTAAGCCAAAACCGCCTCATGATCACGCACCACGTGTTCATCCTCCTTGTCCTCGTGCCAGTTGCACAGGTATGGCCCTCCAGGACGGCACGGCAGCGTCCCTGGTTGCTCGCTTTCTCCTGTTGAACTAGGTGTCTTGAGCATCATTTGGGAGTCAGGATTGCCCCGTGCCAGCTGCTTTAGCAGTTAAATCCCCCATTCAGACGGCAGAGGAAAATAATTAAATCTGAAATGTTTGTGATCCTCCATATCCACAGTATTCTCTTCAGAAATCCCCCAACCCTGATTCCTTTGCGGTTGTCAAAGGTTCTATCTTTAGTGCAATACAATATAAAAAGGATACAAAAGACAAATACAATCCAAACAATGCAACAGTGCTCTGGTAGCGCCTGGGAGTACTGTATTCTTCGGAGGCCACAAAAACCCAGAATCTTTTTTTTTTGGCAAGGTTTCTGCTATAGGGCGCGTGCGCTTGCCAGACAGACAGAAAGAGAGAGAGACAGAAGGCGAGAAATCAGCCCCCAGGGGGACGGCCACGCTGCAATCCCTTCTCCTCCATTCTCCCCTTGGGATCTTGGGCATGCACGCACACGTGCCCGGCGTGAGTTTAAGTCACCGGGTCCGGGACTCGAACTGCGGTCGACTACATGGGAGTCCAGCGACATAGCCATTACACTAACTGCTGGTCCCAAAACCCAGAATCTCAAATGGCCTCAGAATTTCTCCCCAGATCCATTTTCCCACAAAACCCCACCCGTAAGAATGAAATGGGAATGCATAGAGGGAACTGGTCATTCTTGAGTGTTTACCAGACAGCAGGCACTTGATTAAAAAGCTCACAGCTTACTAAGTGGGAGAATTTAACAACCTTCTGCTATAGTCAAAGAAACTGGGGCTCTGAGAGTCTCTCTCACTCAATATGAAATGACAGAGCTGGTATTCCCTACTGTATGGCTTTCTTGGAAGAAAAGGAAAGGTAGAGTACATTTAAGAAGTTCTTTAAGGAGTCTCTCTTGGGACCAGCAGATGGTGTAATGGTTACGTCACTGGACTCCCACATAGTTGACCATAGTTCAAGACCCAGACCCAGCAGCTTAAAACTCAGTTTGTGCCCAAACTGGAGAAGGGATCGTGGTGTGGCCATCCCTCCTGAGGGGAGAGGGGGATAATTTCTCACTTTCTGTTTCTCCAGTGAGCACATGAGTCCTATAGCAAAAATCTCTTTCTTAAGGAAAAAAAAGTCTCTCTCAATTACTTTGGGACTCCACCATCTAGCACACAGCTCGGTGTGCACATACTTTGTCGAGACGAATGGGTTAAGTGCCCTCGGCTTGACTAAGTTAGGTGCACAAAGCTATAGGGTTCCTTGCAACCATTGCTGAATTTCACTGAAAGGCTGGTGTGTGGGGCGGTCAGCCCATCTGAATTGGCCTCTGGACCCGAGGGATTCAACCCTCGAAGTGTTGTTGCGACGGAAGCAGCAGAATGTTCCTGAGACGGCGTGTGCCTACTTAGCACTGCCTTTTGCTTTCCTAGTCTCTCATGGCTACCCTTTTCCTAGCTCTAGCTATTTCCCTTTTTCCTCTCTTCCTCTGCAGAGGCTCCGGGGAGACCTGGGGGACTTCTTTGTCGGCTGTATCTTCACAGCGGAACTGAGCACTCCATTTGTGTCGCTGGGCAGAATTCTGATTCAGGCATGTATGAATGAAATGGCAGAAGTAGTGGGGTTTGGAGAATTCCTTAATGGCAGGGAAAGTGGGATGGGAGACCCTTCAGTAGACTTATGTGTCAGTTGGGCATCCAAGCCAGTGGGAATGAAGTTGTAGGTTTGACCTAAGTTTTTTTTCTTTTTTTCTTTCAATATTGCCAGAGGGTGCCTGTACTTGCTAGGACAGATAGAAAGGGAGGTGGGGAGGGGCCGAAGCACCTTCCATTGGGACATAATGCTACAGTCTCTTCTCCATTTTTCTATCCTGTCGTGATTTGGGGTATGTCTGCATGTGTGCCCAGTGTTTCTTTTCTTTTCTTTTTTCATTTATTTATTTTAATTTGACCAGAGAGAGAGAAGGAAAGTGAGAAGGCAAGCCACTAGTTCTGGGACTCGAACTGAGGTTGGCCATGTGGGAGTGTCCAGCACCTTAACCACTGCACCACCTACTAGTCCCACCCAGTGTTTTTTTCAAGCTACCAAGTCTGGGACTTGCATGGTCAGCAGTTGAGGGATCCAGGTCCCTTAACAGGTAGGCCACAGGTCTGGCCCAATTTGATCCATCTGTATATGTATATGTGTATATATATATATATATATATATATGTGTGTGTGTGTGTGTGTATAATTATTTATTTATTTTAATTTGACTGGAGAGAGACAGAGCAAGAGTGAGGGGAGTGAGAAAGTAAGCTGCCAGGTCTGAGACTCAAACTGCAGTTGGCCATGTGAGAATCCATTGCTCTTAACCACCATGCCACCTGTTGGTTCCAGTTCACTCTATTTTCTCCCGACCAGATTTTCCTCTAGTCTATTGTTGATTTTTTTTTCCCCTCTCAATTTTTCAAGAGAGATTTTTGCTATAGGGTGCATATACTCACTGGACAGACAGAGACCGAGAGACAGCGAGAACTCACCCCCCAGGGGATGGCTATGCTGTAATCCATTCTCCTCTTGGGATCTTGGGTACACATGCACAAGCGCCCAGCATGAGTTTTAAGCCACCGGGTCCAGGTCTTGAACCACAGTTGACTACGTGGGAGTCCAGCAATGTAACCATTACGCCATCTGCTGGTCCCTCTAGCCTATTGTTCCTATACTGTCAGCTAGGTGGCTTAGGCCAAATTTAACATCAGAGTTGGAAAACCCCAGGCAATACACATACACATACACACACACACACACACACACAGTTTAATAATCTTTTCTACAAATATCTAAAAACTGGATGCATGTTTAGGTATCAAGGAATTTGACAGCCTAGGTCTCAATAACTACTTGTGTGGCTTGGCCTTTACCGTAGTGGGACTTGGGCAGTCATTCCCTGATGCCCCAACCTCTTGGTGACCTTGCCTTCTCCTCCTTCCACAGCTAAAGCAGCAGCACACCCTCCTGTACAAGGTGAATGGAATCCTCACGCTGACCACCTTCTTTTGTTGTCGGATCCTCCTTTTCCCCTTTATGTACTGGTCCTATGGCCAACAGCAGGGAATAAGCCTGATCCAAGTGCCATTCAATATCCCTTTCCACTGCAACTTGGCCAATGCCTTCCTCATCGCTCCCCAGATCTACTGGTTCTCTCTGCTGTGCAAGAAGGCAGCCCGGCTCTTTGATCCTCCCCCGACCAAAAAGGATGGCTAATTACTCCGGTAGTCAGGCAGTGAGAGTGCCTCCTCCACTCAGTATTCTATGGACCAAACTGTGCCCTGGGTGGCCTCAGCGTTTTGGGTATTGATAAGCAGACGGATTTGAGTTTTTCTAAAGAATATTCATATTACCTCCCTCTTCTAACCTGTTCCCTTTGCAGAAGCACTTTTTTTCTTGGTTACAACGATTAGATCCTGTGAGACCTCCACTGGCAGCAAAGTGGTTTTAATGTGAGCCCAAGATAAGACCGTCCATCTTTGGGTCTTCCCTAGAGCTCTGGGAGTCAGAAACGTGGGGTGTGGTGATCAGTGGACCACAGCGATAAGTGTTCGGGCACCCGCCTGACCCTAATATTGGTGACTACCCACCTCTCCAACTACTCAGGGCAGTATCCACAGTACTGGGCCAGCAGAAACCAGTAATGACTTGGTTCTTGAAATAATGTCTTTTGACATTGGCCGGAGAAAATCATTGTGGGTAGGTAGGTAGTTTATTATTATTATTATTATTGTTGACTAGATAGCCCATTGGTTGCCCCCTCCTCTTATCCATGTGTGCGTGTGTTTTTTTGTTTTTTTTTTTTGAGAGGCTTTTGCTATAGGGTGTGTGCGCTCACCAGAAAGACAGAGACAGAGAGACAGAAAGTGAGAAATCACCCCCCAGGGAGGATGGCCACACCTCAATCCCTTCTCCTCCATTCTCCTCTCGGGATCTTGGGCACGCACGCACACGTGCCCGGCAAGCCACTGGCTCCGGGACTCGAACCACAGTCGACTACATGGGAGTCCAGTGACACAGCCATTACACTAACTGCTGGTCCCCCACATGTCAGTATTAACATGTCTAAACAAAAGTCTTACTGGCAAGGGGTAAGATGTAGCACTTGAGCAGGTAGGGAGGCCAACATGTGGTCAGCATGACCTTTGCAGGCTGACTTGGTAAAAAGAACAGTGTCAAACTGTCAAACTCATGGGCTTATTGCAAGCAGTCACTCTTTTTTTTTTTTTTTCTCTCATGTGTGCTCACTGGAGAGACAGAGGAAGTGAGAAACCAACCCCCACGGGGGGATGGCCACACCGCAATCCCTTCTCCATTCTTTTCTCAGGATTTGGGGTACGTATGCACATGCACCTGGTGTAAGTTTTAAGCCACCAGGTTCAGAATTCAATTGTGGTCGACTATGTGGGAGTCCAGCGATGTGCTGGTCCCTTTTAACATTACCTTTATGCCCAGCTTTCCCTGTATCCTTACACGTAGGCTGCTCTCCTAAAATCTACAGGGGCAAAGTGAAATGGTATCTCAGTAGCTATTTACTGGATAACCCCACTCTGACACTGTCTTTTTCACGTGATATGGAAGTGGACCTCTGTGCTCTGAACCGTGGACTCGCTCATCTAGACTGCTGGGTACAAAGCCACCTGATAAGCGGAGCCTGAGATCTGGAGTCAACTCCTGTGTGAGTGGACAGCCCAAGGGGGACAACTTGCTGAAGAACATCCTGAGGGTTGCAATTAAGATCCTCCAGTGCCAACACTAATCATTCCTTATCAATTCGGGTGGGTTTGTGAGACTCTACTACTACCACTCAAGTGGTAGTGAAAACCTAGAATTTTAAACGTGCCTTCTAATCCATTGTCCATGAATTTTTACAGGACTGAGTGATGTGTAATAGTATCTACATTTTGACTGCTTCAGTCTAATGGGTGCCATTTAAAAAAACACAAGATGCTGTAACTTTTTTACTTTTTTTTTTTAAACTATCGGTGTATCTTTATGTCACCCCTATGGTGATTAAATTGCACTAATATTTCCCAACTAATTCTCATTTGTGAAATATATCAGTAACAGCTTCCTCTAAAAACGATTTCAGGCGCCCTTAGAGGAATGAATTGGCTGCTGTGTGCTATTGTTTCTAGTCTATATTCATGTAACTGGTGTGCATGTGTGTGCGTGCGTGCGTGTGTATCTGAATGCTTTCAGGCTCCAGGAAGTCCTTGCACTCATGCGTTACTCTATGTTTCTACAGTTTCATGGTTCCAAGAATACATGTAAGGTTCCCAGAGTTCAAGGCTAGTAGGCCACTTAACTTTAGGCTCTTTTTTCCTAGGTAAATCCTAATTAAGAGTTGGGAAAGTGGAAGCCTGATTGTTGTTCACAGAGCCACGCCTCAGGGTATCTGAGTAATGCCCCATTTTTGAATGAGGGTGTGGATATGAAGGAGGTGATAGAACATATTCTTTTCCCTCCCCTATCTCCCAAAATAAACATTTCCCCAACCGGTTCTTATAGTTCCATTAACAGTATCCCAGGCACCTCGAATTCTTTTATGCTTCTGCACACACCATTCTTTGCTCCCACTCATTCATCAGAACCATGACAACCCCACCCCAGGCAGAAGATAATGACACCATCCTTTAAACACATCTCTCTCTGTTTACCAGACCTAGTTTCAGCACAGTCCCTTAAGGGCCCACTGAGTGGAATTCACTGTATGGCAGTCCTCAATTCAAAAGACCTACACCTCTGAACACTTAAGTTTCTCTTGGTCTGAGGCTCCTGTTTCACCAGGGTGCAACAAGCCTGTCCTGCACACAAACCATTTGGCCAGAGGGAGAGGCAGGGATAGATTTTTTTTTTTTTTTTTAATGTCAGAGGGTGGAATACACCCTCCAATTGGGTGTGGCCATACTGCATTCCCTTCTCCATCCTGTCAGGATTTGGAGTTTGCACACACACCTATAAGTTTTATAAGTTGCTGGGGCCAGGACTCAAGTCACATGGTTGGTCAAGTACAATCCAGCTCCTTTAACCACCAGGTCCCAAGGCTGGCTCAAAGCTCTTTTCCATGAGGTGACTCTTCCCCAGATACCACAGGAGAAATCCTAAAATGTTGAGAGGACTTTTTTTTTTTTTTTTAAGAGGCTTTTGCCATAGGGCCAGAGTGAGAGACCGAGACAGTGAGAGGGAAAGTGAGAAATCACCTCCTAGGAGATGGTCAGGCTGCAAACCCTTCTCCTCCATCCTCCTCCTGGGATCTTGGGCATGCACGCACATGCGCCAGGCATTGAGTTTTAAGCCACCAAGCCTGGGACTCGAACCAGTCTGCCATGTGGGAGTCAGCAGTGTAACCACTTTGCCATCTGCTGGGCCCTGAAATTATGTTTTTTCCTTTTTCTTTAGATTTTTGCCATAGGGTATGTGCCCTTGCCAGAGACAGACACAGAAGGAAAATGAGAAGTCACGCTCTGAGGGAGGGTGGCCATACCACAATTCCTTCTCCATTCTCTCAGGATTTAGGTATGCATGCATACGCATGCACCTGGAATATTCTCAAGCTGCTGGGCCTAGGACTCAAACTGTAGAGTCGGCTATGTAGGATGAAGTGCCTTTACCACCATGCCACCTGCTGGCCCCTGAAGTGACTCTCGGAAGAGTGTTAATGTGACAGAACACATCCTGTAAGCTTCTCCACTTGGTTGGTTTTTACCCTTGGTCTTATTTGCCCAAATCTAGGGTGAAGCCATTATGAACATGTTGCTCCCAGCTTGACTTGTTCTTGAAGACTATGTAAACCCTATTTCAGAGCATAATTAACCTTAGGTGATTGCTGAGAAATTCAAAAGGGACAAGATGAAACTCAAAGAGAATTTTATTTTATAGTTTGTATGTTACAAATACTTAAGAAACTATTTTTCTTTATACCATATTGCCTTATGTTTTATCTTATGTGCATTTTCACGTAACTGCAAAGTCTGCTTCTCCCACTCCAGCCCCTACAGACCACATCTTGAGGCCCAGCTTTTTTCTGATAGATCTCAGGTCAGAAGTTGCTGATCTTCTGTAGCAGGGTTTGGCGCCACTCTTCAGGGTTAACGTTCTCAGCAATGGACTTTAAGAAGCGCTGCTCGTTGACCTTCTGGAGCAGGGAGCTAATAGAAGGGTTGGTCTTACTCAGAGTTTCATAGCAGGTGAGAATTTCCAAGGCCAAAACATAGAGTGGGTCACAGACCTCTTGATGGAGCATGGCCATGATGTGCAGAACATGACAGAATACCTGGGTATAAACAAACAGGGCTTCCTGGGTCAGGTCCTGTTCTTGTCCTTGGGCCCAAGGGCCAACTGACTGTATTAACCTAACTGAGTCCAAGAGGTTGGTCAAACTGCCACAGAGGAGTTTGACCACGTGGCTCCAGCCTTCCATAGGAAGCCAGTTACGACAACTCTGGCTGCAGAGAAACTGGAATGCTCTCAGGAAGAGGACAGACAGTTGGAGCTCCTGGGCAAAGGGCTTCAGGTTAAGCAGAGGAACAAACTGAATATATTCCAGACTGTAAGGGACATGCAAGAGCTGTTTTTCCAACAGTCTCCTGGTCAGTTGGTGAAGGTACTGCCACTCTTGGGGGCTGCACCAAGGCATGACTTGCACCAGGGCCACCAGAAAGCCCTTGCTGAACAATCTGACCTCTTCAGGATTGCCCACATCTACCACCAAGAGGGAGAGCATCTGCTCAGAGATGCTGCTGGAGATACTGCAGCACTCCATCCAGGCAAGCAGCCCCGTGCCAGGCCCATATCCTGGGTGGGCCTGGGAGGTCCACTCATCCTCACAGAGCTTACAGATCTCAAAAAGGGTGGCTGGCACCTCACACTTGAAATGGCCCTCAAAGAAGTTCTTCAGTCTCAAGCCCACAGTCCAGTCCAGCTGCTCCATCTTCCGGTGGAGCCAGGACAGGGACTTGATCCAGGTATCTGGGGAGAAGGTCTCTGTATTGGCTAATACGATCTCACAGAGGATCTCCAGGATACGGATCACCAGATCCTTCGCATCTAAAGAGAGGTACCGCTTCTCTGTGGAAAGCTGCCAATATTTGCTAAAACTATCCAGAAGCTGGCACAAGCTGAAGATGAGGGGGAAAGGGGAGCAGGTCTGGAGCCAGTATTCTTCTAGGCATGCATTTGCTTCTAGAATCTGGATGAAGATCTTCAGACTGAGGTCTACCTCTTCCACATCAAGCATCAAGAAAGGCAGCACAAACTCCCTCAACACCTCATCTGGCTCAAGAAGAGCAGCGACTGGAATCCCCTGGGGCTTCACTGGATGCATCAGGCAGTTCAAGAACTCCAAAAATTGCTTTTCTTCCTTAGGTGTAGAGAACTTTGTCCAGACGGTTTCTCTGAGGCATGACACCATGAAAGTGGCAGATGAATTTGGAGCTTGCTCTTCTGTGAACTTAAGGGCAGGGAAGGCAGTGAGAATCTGGGCCAGGAACTTGTGGGTGCCAAGGTTGATCACAGCCATGCTGCACATTTTTTTCACTGTAATTTCTGGGTGCAGTATTACC